ATATATATATATATATATATATATATATATATATATATATCCAAACATAATATATTTTGTATTTGTATATGTAATTTATTATAAATTTTAGTTATATATAATAAGATTTGACATATTTTTAAACCTAAATTCTAAAATGCACATATTAAAATAATACTAGTTAAAAATAACATGATCTTGCCTCAAAATTGAGGGATAATATTGTTATTAAACAATGTAAATTACATATCGACTTAAGCCAACTAAATAATTACATAAATTATCTTTATCTTTATATTATTCAAATTTAATTAATTAAAAGTTAACTAAATAATATGAATCAACTTAATCTTAATATACATAAAGTGGAGAAGTTCTTCAACTTCTTCTTTTCTGCTCAAATTGAAACTTAACATTCTCCATTTAATAATTTGTTATCTTATGAATTGAAGTTATTAATTATATTTGAAATATACATTTAACTTATGTGTATTAACATTTTCTTTCCCAATATGCATTTAACTCACATGCATTCACATTTAGCATTTGTCCATGTTCCTTCTTAACACTCAGTTACCAAAAATGAAAATGTTAAATGTAGGTTGCATCTTCAACACCCAAACTTTTTGTATCTTCACTTTATTCTCTTTTCAATCAAATTATATATATATCTCCCAACCATGAACAAATCAAAGTTACCTTCGTATAACCTCACTTCATTTTCATTGAAATTGCCTCTATTATTTTAGATTTTCATCTATTTTGTCATATATTATTTAAATGCATATTTATGAAGAAGAAAAAATATGAGATGTCATTATTTTCGAAGGGATTTTGTGGAAATGGGTTATTTGTTGTGTTGTTTATGCATAACGGGATATCATTAACTTCAACCATTATAAGTCGTCATTACTTAAACTCAAAAGATTTGCTTATTTGTGAGTGAGAGCTTAAGTGGTAGAGGATAAAGAAGATAACAAACGGTGAAAAGCATAAACATGGGAGGGTACAATGTAAATCATTCCATTGCATAAAAAATGTATTTTATTATTGTTTTTTTAAAAGATTTTTGAGGTATGCTTTGTTGAATTTGAGATTGTAAATCATTTGATCTGATCAGGTTATTGAGTTTTTATGGATTAAGTGATCTAAAATCACATTTGAGGTTATAAAAATATTATGTTAGTGTTGTAATTATTCTCGATGTATATGTTCACATTTTATTTTTTTTATTGATATTTTGTTTATATTATTTTTAAATCATCTTTATTTTTATAACTTATTGTCAAATTCAAAAATTAATTTATATATTTAAAAATAAATTCATATTGATTAATATATTTATATTCTTGTACATCACATGGATTTATGAACTATTTGAATTATTTCAGATTATCCAATTCTTAAGGTGAACAAAATCAATGGACACCACTTCACTAAATAGTATAAGTATAATTATTCCTTTATTTTTTGAAAAATATTGAGACATAGTAAATTAAGAAAAGATAGATAAAATAAAAATTAAAACACAAATTTTTGTTAGACAATAATTTATGACAACTTTGTTTATCAATAAAGTTGATATACATAATATGGATCATGTTTCATATAAAATATTTATGTTTTAAAATATTAATTTTATTGGTAGTTTTTAAAGTGTCGATAGAAAATACATTTAAAATGTAGATAAATTAAATTATTTATTTTTATTTTGTAATTATTAGGGTTGGTCTAATAGTGGAAATTGAAATAATATGTGTTTTATTTTATTTTTTAACCTTGTCACCATTATTATAATTCTTGGTGACAAACTAGTTTCATATAGGTCTTAGTTGATTTATACTAATGTCGTGGTAGACTCATACCTTAATTTCTTGATAGTAGTATTAAACCTTCTTAGTTTAAGTGGGAAGATCTAAGAAACTAAAAGTTAATGACTTGGTTGAATGCTAAACATTGTTTTTCTAACTTGGTCTCAATAGAGGCCAAAATTTATTTTTGACTTGGTCCAAAGAAGGGACAAACATTATAGGTTCGATAAGGTTAAATCACTTATATTGCTCATCATGTGTTTTTCTAACTTGGTCTCAATAGAGGCCAAATTTTGTTTTTGACTTGGTCCAGATAAGGAACAAACATTATAGGTTCGATAAGGTTAAGTCACTTATATTGCTCACCATGTTGTAAGAGATCTCCAAAGTTAAAAATGTGTGACAACACATAAGTTTTTAAGTTGTATATGATGTTTAAGTTGTAAAATTGTTTTCAATTCTTCAATTGTACAAGTTGAAAGTTATTTGATTGTTTGTATTGGACCTCTACGATGAATATAATAAAATATTTATTATTTGGTCATTGGTCTTTAATACAGATTACGTAATAAGAATAAATAATATAGAGTATAATGTTGAAACATACCTCCACTTGCAACCATTATTATTACATAGAAGTCATACAAATATTAGAAAAGGAAAATTTAGAAAGAATAGAGAAGCTTTTAGCCATTGCCTTTTCTGAACGTGTGAATCAATAAAGCATCACAGGCTTTATATAGGCAAGGCCAGGGACCCCTTCTGTCCTTTAATTTGGCTCCTCCATTAAAAGCCAATAATGCAAAAATTTAAAACTTATAACGATTATATCAATTCTGATTATGAATCACTTAATTGTTATATTTTAACATTAATGGTTGCAAGTGGATATATGTTTTCACATTATACTTTATATTATTTATTCTTATTCCATAATATGTATCAAGGAACAATGACCAAGTAATGAATATTTTATTATATTCATTGTAGAGGTCTAACAATTAGTATCAGAGCTAAACTTACAACCGTTTTATTCATATATATTTTTATATAATTATGTTATTTCCGCTGCATACCATATATAATTGTAAGGATCATACTCATATGAAATTTTATTTATTCATTTATTTTACGTATATGGATTAATCATAAAAAAAAGAATCTATTTATTTATGAATAAATATATCAATGTATATACGAATTAAAATTGTATCAAGATCCTTACAAATAATCTTGCATGATTATTCATTTTATCTATTTAAATTAATATTTATTTATTTGTTGATATATTGAAATTGAATACAAGATCTTAATATCATGATTATGTGATTTGAAAATATGACGATTGTAATATGCCTCAATTCACATTAATTGCAATAATTAAGGTTAATTTTAATTTATATTAATTAAAATTATCATGATTATTTTCAAATTATTGGTATTGGACATAAAATTATCATATATGCAATTCAAATTGTGAGTTAT